AAAATATCATATTGATATAACAAATATTGTTGGTGGCTCTAGAGCAAAAACTCGAGTTGTTAATTCATTTATTAGTAACAACTCAAACTTCAATTAATTCAAGGTTTGCAACCGAGGAAGAAACATGAGAGAGAGAGGTAGAGAGAGAGGCAGGGATTCAGGTATCAGGCACCGCTCGAGGACAAGACGGATAGCACTAGGAAGAGAGTGGATTAGTAACCAAGAGAGAAGCCGACAGGTGAGGACACGAGATGTACAGCAACAGAGTTGGAACAGAAACAGGAAGGGCTCCGATGAATGGGGATACAACAGAGGGATATACAAGCAAGCCACAAACTTCTTCTTTACAAATATACCGGACGACTGGAGCTACAATGATATGTGGAGCACATTTGGCAAGTATGGGCGGATAATCTCTATTTATAGTCCACAGAGAAGAAGTAAGAGTGGAAGCAGGTTCGGTTTTGTTAGATTTTTGGAAGTGAGGAATGCTATGGAGCTAGAGAGTCAACTAGATCAGATCAGGATTGAGGGGCGAAAGATATGGGTAAATCTAGCCAAGTATCTAGAGGAGAGAGGCGAAAAGGAAAAGGTTAGGAGTGGCATCAACGAAAATAAAGTTACTCATGGGAAATCATATGCTGATGTTGTACGAGGAGAACAAGGAGGAGACCCAAGGAAAACCAGAGATCAGATGCCAACGACCAGTCTGAAGTTTGAACCCCATAGACAGCCGGAACAGAGACAGGAATGGAAAATGAAAAATAGAGAAGAAGAGTGGTCGGGTATGGAGTATACAGTAAAAGAGGAAGATTTGAGTGGCTAAAGGGATGTTACGTAGGCATAGCTCGCTCAGTGGAGATTGTCCTGATTCTACAGGAGAGATTCTACATGGAAGGGTATTTTTCATGTAGTCTCAGAGCTATGGGAGGAAAAATGGTCCTTATGGATTGTGAGGACAAAGAAGAGCTTAAGGACTTAGTGTAGCACGCCTCTGATTGGCTTGGCCAGTGGTTCTCAGAAGTAACACCGTGGTTTCCTTCAATGGTGGCAAAAGAGAGGTTCGTCTGGATAAGGTGCCAAGGTGCACCTTTACATGCCTGGGGCCTAGAGTTTTTTGAATCCATGGCATCAGTTTGAGGCAAGTTTGTTAGCTTGGACGATAGTACAAGCAAGAGAAGAAGATTTGACATTGCCAGGTTCCTCATCTCAACAATAATGATGGAGTCAATCTCAGTAAAAAGGAAGATTAAAGTGAATGGAGCAATGTATGAGCTAAAATTCACAGAAGAAGAACTGACAAACAGCCTTTTTTTTCTAAAATATGATTTCATGCCAAGTTTCAATAGCGACCCAGAGTATGATGAATCATGGTCTGAAGACACCGATTATTGTGATGGTTGTGACGAGATAAGCAAAGAAGTAGATAAAGAGACAACCGCTGGTGAAGAAGAGGTGGCCGGAGACAACATAGAGTGCGAAGGAAGAGGAAGTAAGTTGGTTGTAGCTCCGACACCCGGGGCAAAATTTGAATTGGATGGAACAGGTAATGATGAGACACAGCTCAACAAGGGTGACAGACCATTCCAAAGCAGGGTGGGTGAGGAAGAGACGGTAGAAATGGTAGCGGAAAGCTTTGACATGGAAATAGAAGAAGATGACGTCGGTGACAGAGAAAGAGTTGGAGAGTGTGAAGCTGAATTTAAAAAAGGGAGGCAAACTAGTTCAGGCCTAATAGCAAGCTCAGGAAGAATTGAACCGAGCCTACAACCTCAACCCAATCCAAAAACATTGGGCCAACAGAACAGAACAATGGAACCGAGGGGAAAAGAAGCATGGGTCTGTGAAAAAGGCTTGGAGAATTTACAACTGGGAGAACACTCTAGGCCCGAGGTTGAAACATAAAAGGAGGCCTCACAATGTAATGCAAAACACGAGAAAAAAAAGAGTATTCTGGAGAACAGCAGCTCCTTTTGGGAGGGACTTGGAAGTGAAGATGGGAGTGAGAAGGAGTGGATGAGAGTGATGCCGAAGCAAGGCAAGCAGAAAATAAAGAAAAAAGTCAAAGCGTGTAGCGCGGTATACAAAAGATTAGTTCCTCTTGAAGTCATGAATCAGAAGAAGAAAGACAAAGGCAGATCTGGGTCGAGTCAAGCAGAGGAGGAGGAAACTTCACAATGTCGTTCGAGCACAAGCAACTCGGTAGTAGGGGGCTCGGTGGGGGATAGCGGCATCCAAAACTGCAATAGAAGGTTGAACAAGGTCCCCAACAAACGAATCACAACTGATTGTGGAATTTTGCAAAGAGGATCGGGGCGGTAATAGAGGAAGAGAAGCCGGTCATCAGGAAGCTCGAGGAGATGGAGAAAAAGGATAGAGCAACAAAAGAGGCAAAAAACGCAAGAGGAGCAAGTGAAGTACAGAAGGTTAGTGAAGTAGTTAAATGAATATTCTATCCTACAATATCAGAGGGTTGGGGGGAGTGGGAAAGATAAGAACCATCAGAGAGCTTGTGAATAAAGAAAGAGTAGATTTCCTGGCAATATAGGAAACCAAGAAGTGTGGGTTAGATAGGAATTATTGTAAAAGGTTATGGCACTCAAAAGACTTTGATTGGGTAGTGAAGGATTCCGTAGGAAGGTCAGGAGGGTTGTTGTGTGTATGGAATTCTAAAGCCATTAGTGTGAAGCACGTCTGGGAAGGAGAGAAGTTCATTGGTATCCAAGGGGTGTGGACTGCAGAGAACGTTGTGGTCAATGTCGTCAATGTTTATTCCCCATGCCAACTTGCTGGAAAAAGAATCTTATGGCTGGAGTTAAAAAATTTAGTTCTGCAAACAGGAGGAATGTGGTGTGTTGTGGGAGATTTTAACGCAGTCCAGAAAGTCGAGGAGAAGATAGGGAGTAAAAGATTAACTACAGAGATGGGAGAGTTTGACAACTTCATTATAAAATCGGAACTGATTGATATTCCGTTAGTGGGTAGAAAATTCACATGGTACCAAACAGGGGGCAAATTCATGAGTAGAATTGATAGAGTACTGTTGTCAGAGGAATTGTTATCCAGGTGGGGGGAAGCTACACAATGGGGGTTGAGTAGAACAGTCTCTGATCACTGCCCTATCTTGCTTAGACATAAGAAAGTGAATTGGGGACCCAAACCATTCAGATTCTTTGATATATGGTTTGAGCAAAAAGAGTGCAGGGAGCTTATAAGAAAAGCATGGGAACAAGCAAACATCCAAGGATGGGCTGGGTTTCAACTTAAGGAAAAGCTAAAGATCACCAAGGAAGCACTGAAGAAGTGGAGCAAAAGCTTTGTACTCGAAATTGACAGCAGAATAAAAGAGGCCACAGCACAGATTGAGCAGTTAGATCTGAAAGGGGAGTCGGAGCAGCTAGCAAATGAGGAGATTGAAAGAAGAAGACAGGCTTTGCTAGATCTATGGAACAATATAAGATACAAGGAGAGTATGCTACAACAAAAATCTAGAAAAGCATGGTTATCAAATGGGGATAAGAACACAAAGTTTTTTCATAGCTGTGTGAAGGGGAGGTGGAAGAGGAATGAAATGAATAGCATACAAATAAAAGGAACTCAGTATACGGAAGCTAGAAGAATGAAAGAGGAGATTGCTAGCTTTTTTCAGAACATGTTTGCGGAAGAACAGTGGAAGAGGCCAACTTTAGAAGGAGTAAAATTCAAGAGAATCTTTGCAGAAGAAAACAGCTCCCTCACTACACCCTTTACCGAAGAAGAGATTAAGACTGCAGTATGGGACTATCAAAGCTCAAAGGCACCAGGGCCTGATGGATTCAACTGCAAATTCATCAAAAGTGAATGGGAGACAATCAAAGGGGATGTCATCGGGTTTCTAGAGGAATTCCAGAGAAATGGCAAGTTGGTGAAAGGTCTAAATACCTCCTTCATAGTGCTGGTGCCAAAAGTAGAAAACCCACAGAAAATTGAAGAATACAGACCTATCTCGCTTATTGGGGCGGTATATAAAATTCTTGCCAAAACTCTGGCCAACCGTCTTAAGAATGTGTTGGCAGGGGTAGTGGGTGAACAGCAAATGGCATTTATAAGCGGAAGACAATTGCTGGATGGGGTCATGATAGCAAATGAGATTGTGGATGAAACAAAAAAGAAGAAGAAGAAAGCTTTTATGCTCAAGATTGACTTTGAGAAAGCTTATGACAAGGTTAGCTGGAGCTTCTTGGATTTTATGCAGCAGAAGATGGGATTTTCTACTAAGTGGAGGAAATGGATCATGGAGTGTCTGAAATCCAGCATGGTGTCGGTATTAGTCAATGGCAGTCCTACAAGGCAATTCATGGTTTCGAGAGGCCTTCGGCAAGGGGATCCACTGTCACCTTTCTTATTTTTAATCATCGCAGAATGGATGAATGGGCTAACTTCAAAAGCAATACAAAATGGGTTATTGAAAAGAGTGGAAGTAGGACATGGAGGATTCAAGGTCTCACACCTGCAATATGTAGATGACACACTTCTGTTTGGTGAAGCCACCGAGGAGAATGTCTGGGCCATGAAGGGTATTCTGAGAACATTTGAGCTGGTGTCGGGGCTAAAGATCAATTTTAACAAAAGCCTACTCATTGGCATTGGGGTAGAGGAAGAGTGGCTTGACAAAATGGCGTGGATAATGTGCTGCAAAAAAGGGAATCTACCCTTCAAATACTTGGGGATCCCTATTGGGGGTAGCTGTAGAAAGATTTCCTTTTGGAAGCCGCTAGTGGAGGTCTTCCACAAGAAATTAACAACATGGAAGGGTCGGTACTTATCTCTTGGCGGTCGGATCACTCTCATTAATTCAGTGCTATCCAGTCTCCCCGTGTTTTGGATGTCGATGTACTTGATCCCGAAAGGTACAATTCTTTCTCTTGATAAAATTCATAGAAGATTTTTGTGGGGTGGGGTTGAGGGAGGTAAGAAAATAAATTGGGTCAAATGGGATACAGTATGCATGGATAAAGAACTAGGGGGATTAGGAGTGAAGGACTTAAGGAAATTTAATTTGGCGCTGCTAGGCAAATGGTGGGGCAGATTAGTGAACAAGGACGACGGGCTATGGAAAAAAGTGATCTTAGAAAAATATGGGAAAGAGGGAGAACCTAGTTATAATTGGCTGAGGGAGAATATTGGCTACGGATCAACTTGGTGGAGGGACATATGTAGATTAAACAATATTGAGTGCAAGCATGAGGGGTGGTTAGAGGAGGGGTTCAAAATCAGAGTGGGAGACGGGGGTAGCATAAAATTCTGGTGGGATGATTGGTGTGGGGAAGGTCAACTGGCGAACAGATTCCCTAGGCTTTATTTATTATCTGCAGGAAAGGATTACAACATTTCACAGTCGGGAGGGTGGCTCAATGAAACATGGACATGGCATTTGGAATGGAGAAGAGGATTGCATAACTGGGAAGAACAAGAAGTATCAGAGCTCATGAAAATGATCAACGATATTACAATCACAAGAGGAAAAGATGATATATGGGAGTGGAGTCATAGCAAAGATGGAGATTATTCATCAAAGTCAGCTTACCAAGCACTCACGAGGGAGCACGGAACGGAACAACAACAGTTGGCTCTCCACAAAGTTTGGAACACAATTGTGCCAAACAAAATTTCAGCATTTTCATGGCAAGTGCTATAGGGTAAAATACCTACAAAGATCAATTTAATCAAAAGGGGTATAACTCATGGCATAGAGGACAGCAGATGTGACTTATGCGATAGCCAAACAGAGGAAGCCAGCCACCTTTTCATCCACTGCAGCGTTGCCCACAAACTTTGGAATGCATGCTTCAGATGGTGGGGGATAAAATCAGCTTTGGACAAAGATTGCTTAAAGGTATTCCATCAACCCTCATCCATAATCAAAATGGCAGGGAAAAAAGAGGGTTGGAGCTGCATTTGG